TAATTTTAGATCTTTCCTAGGTCAGTGGAATTTTTGCCTGAACAAAAGCTTCAGGACTTCAGGATGTTGGGTTTTTTTCATGGGTTTTGTTATTCCTTTGGCTGTACTAGTACAACTGAGTTGTCCTTCACACACATCAGTTTCCTTAAGTTTCTATTCTCAAAGAAGCGAGTTTCTATAATTACTCTGAAAACTCCTGTCCAGCCATTCCTGTGTCTGTCACTGACAGTGTGCAAAACTTTTCAGGACCACAACACTTCCCTAGACAGCACAAAAGGCATCAGATAATCAATTATTGCTTCTTAAATGTGCTACAAGAAGACAGTAGAGAACTGTTATTTCAATTTAAACATGTGATTTTCCACTGACTTGTACAAAATAACTCCTGATTTATACCAGTTGAAGTAGAATAAAAGAGTGAGGCTTTAGCTGTGAAATAATCTGTTGGGTTTTTCCCTCCATGCAAAGTTCTCACTGACAAGAAAAAGCAGCCTCAAAAAACAGAGATAAAATACCAAATTTAAATTAGTCTAACCTAGGACTGTGCATGTCAGTATTAAGACAGACATATCTTTTTATTTCTTATGGAATGCAGGAGGTGTTCAGCTGTTGGAAAAGGTGCTGCCTCTCCAAAGCAGCACACTGTGCCACTGGGGTTTTAATTAGCAGACAGCAAGTGAGGGCTATTGGTCTGTCAGTGAATTTTCCAGCTCTTCCCAAGCAACCAGCAGCCCTGTATTAGAATCAGACAGGAGAAATTCTCGTATTTCTCCATGTTTCCCTTAGGCTGAGTAGAGCTCCCTCTCGGGCAGGGTCTGGGATCTTCCTGTGATTCAGCCACTCTTGTTTTCACTGGGGTTAGAACAGACTGATTGATTTGCAGTTCACCTTAACAACCTGGGCTGAAAAGAGTCACAGTGGTAGCTCCAAACATGTGGATTTCCATGCAGTGCTGGAAGTCTTCCAGAACCCCGAGTTTCACTGGGTGAATGCAACTTTTATTCCAACAGTAGTGCCACTTAGTCTGTTGGGATAGTCTTGTCCTGCAGAATGTCCTAAGAACTCAGTGCAGTGAAGGCTTTCAGAGCAAATCCAGTCCTGAACCTGAAGCCTCACTGGGAGCAAGAGTTCAAGAGACATCAGGCTTGGCTGGGAGCTGGTTTTGAGCCAAATCCAACTATTTTACAAACTACTTCAGAAAAATAAATGCAAGAGGTTTTTCCTCTTCAAAAGCATCCACAGCCATTACCTCACTTGTATTATCCTCCCTGCAAGAGAAGCTCTACAGCCAGTTCAGAGGGCAGCTTACACTTGGATTTCATCCTTTGATTCCTGCAGACTGAAGTTTTCCCCTAGTGTAGCCTGATCACTTGTCAGACCCTGTCTGGAAGCAGAAATTGCAGCCAGTGGCCACCAACAAGCGCAGCTGTGCTGATGCCAGTGAGTCAAAAATGTGTGAGAAGACAGACTTCCCAGATGTCACACGCTCAGGGTGCAGGCAGTGTGTGCCAAGGTTTGCCCTGGGCATGTTTTGGGCTTGAGTGTGGTTTGGTTCAGGGTTGGCCACTGATCACCCATTCAAGGGCTACTGACCTGCACATGTAGGAAGGTGTTGGATCCACATGGTGACAGTGCTGCTGGTGGTTTTGTGGCTATGCTGAAACAAGGGATCCCTTGCTATCTGCTGAAGGAATTAATTGCTGCAGCTTGGAGTAATGAGCTGTGAAATAAATCAATCCCTTGGGCACGGAGGGCTCGATAACTCCTGTGCTGTGTGCAAGGAAGCTGTTATTTGCATCAAACAGGCTAATGGGGAGCTGTTCCACCTGCAGCTGGGCAGCTCAATGACAGCCAAATATTGGAAATTCCCTGAAGTCCTGAAAGGAGCCAAGTGCCTAACTTTGATGGGAAACCATTGCTTCTGTTGATGTACTTGGCACTGTGATAGCTATTGTTGAGCACTCAAGTAGTTCCACTCCTTCTCAAGATGTCAGGGGCTGAAAATCACATTTTAGCTGCATTTAATTCCAAAATGTTTTATTTTAAGCATATGTTCTGTGCCCCTTTGGTGGGAAATCCCAGTATCCCATAAGCTTCCTACAAAAGCCCCTGCCTTGTTTTGAAGACATAGATGAGTCAATGTGAAACTGGTCTTAATTAAATCAACGGATTCTTCCTGTAAAAGCAGACAAAAAATAAGCTATTAAGACTGAACATTGTTCTGACTTTCCTTAGAATGATTTGGGTTTTCTCTGCTGGTCTACACTGAGGAGGATAGTTCTATATTTTGACATACTGGGTAACCATGAGAAGAAGCCTGCTTCTTTGTGGCTTCCTGATGCTGAATTTCATAAAGAGATGAGTGTTTCAGTGAGATAACAATGCACCTGGTTGACATCAGGAAGTCAAGGGTGACTTCACAGAATTGTGTGTCCGAAACTCAAACTATGTTAATGCAATTAAGGATTTGCTTAAGCTGAAGATTTCTGCCTTTCCAGTGGATCAGGTGGTGGTGGTTGGGGATTTTTTCCTTTCGTTTTTCTTTTTGTAATTGTGAGAAATATCCCAGGAGATGACATCAAGTGTGTGTGTGTGTTGGTGTATTAAAGAGAAAGAAGGAAAAGTAAACTACCTACCCAGCTGCATGGCAAATCCAAAACAGGGGCTACTTGGCAGTGATTACACTTTTGGAAAAACAGAGGAGTTCTGTGAGACTTTGTCACAGGCAGGGAAAACAGCTGTAGTTGCTCTCCTCCTTCCCTTTTCATCACCACAGTCCATTTCTCCTCTACTGCGTGAACCATTCTTTTGGGAACCAGCTCCATCAGCAGAGGGGGAAGGTTAAAAATAAATTCTGCTTTTCCTAAGATTATTTTTAACCTGGAATGCTTAAGTGATCTAGTTTACAGTGTTACTTGACAGACAGGTCAGGCTAACTGAGGGTACAGGCAGCTTTGGGCTTTGCTGTCAGAGCTAGCGTGTGCCTTTTACGTGCTTCATTTGTCCTGTTTTTTTAATGAAATATGAACACTAAGTGGATGAAACCTGAGTTGTGAGCCTGGCTGTTCTTGATGTTGCAGGCATGTGGATTTCTCATGCTTGGTACTGAGAAAAGACAGGAGCACTAATGGTGCTTCAGTGCAGTGCTTAATTAGAGAATCTGTTTGTAGGGAGAAAAAACAAGCCCTTCTAAATGTAATTACAGTAGGGGTCTTTCCATGGATCTCTGATCAGAAGAGGTAAGCTCATGGCAAGGGCATATATAGATAAGATGGCATGTTCTTCCCAGGGTCAGGGAACCTTTCCTTTCAAAGGCTGTCACTGTGATCCAGGCCCACAAGCGGCCACATGGAGAGGGACGTGTGTGCCCAGTTCTGTCTGCCCAGGGCTGAACTGTACAGCTTAAGTAGCTGGATACTTCTGTAGCCCTATCCCTCAGCATCAGCTCCCCTGAGTCAACTCAGCACTGTGCCTTGCTCAGACCTCAGACATGTGTCATTACCAAGTATTTGGAGGAAGTGGCTCTAAAGAAGGAAAAGTCTCCGAGATGGCTTGTCAGCTTAGGGTGAGTTTTCACAAGCTATCAGGTGTGTCAGCCACGTTGCAGTTGTCAGGATAACAATAGTAGTGTCTTCTCATTGGTGTATTTATTGTCTCTTTCAATATGACCTTATCAAACAGCAGTTGAATTGGTTACACCTAGTGGTAAGAATTAGAGTGGGTGATGAGCTAATGCAAGCTCTTATTTGATATTTGCTGGGTCACTTTTAGAACTTCCTCACATCTGGTCATGTCCCAGCCAGCTTTTCAAGCCTCAATGTAGCTGCCTGTATCCACACACAGGAAAGCCACCAGTAACAACAGTGTCCCTGTGAAGTTCTGCATTAGGCATCTATTTAAGGGAAATGAAGAAGGAAATATATTTAGTGTCTGTTTTGGGTATTACGTATTGAGAACCTGTTTTGCTGTTCTTGCTCTTCATCTTCCATTGCTAAAGCAAATGCTAATATAGTCCAGCAATTTTGGAGTACAGGTCTCTTGATTTCCCTTTTTAATTCTGCTGAAAGTTTGGGTGCGTGTGGATCCTTTTACCTCAGCAACAGAATGAAATATTCAAAGTCAAACCAATCAGCTCATATGAGACACAGCTGCTGGGGAGAAAAGCAGAATAAAAAGGTGATTTCCTTTGGGAAAACGGCCTCTTTTGATAGTTTTGATTTTTGTAAGTAACACGTACAAGCACTTGTCCACTTGGAACATGCAGAGCTTCTCCTTTTCGCTCAGGCACAAGCAACAGCTGAGATGCTAAACTGTCAAGTAGTTCTTCTTCTAAAGAGTAGTTGAAACAAGAGGATTATTAGCCATGTATTTCTCTTTTTAAAAAAGTCACCTAAAGGCCAGTGACTCCTCTAATGATTTTTATCTTTTAAAACTCTTATATTTATAATCTTGTTTTTCTTAGAGGAATTAATTAGCAAAATAACATATCCAAGCACTTGAATGGTGTCTGTTGAGTCATTTCATCTTACATGGTGAAGCAGAAACCAGAGGATTCTGCCTGACTCATACCTTGGACTTATTAGTCATGATGGTCTCAATTATTTAAATAACAAATAAACAAATAACTGCAATGTAAAAAATAAGACTATACATTTTTAAAAAGGTAAGAATATTTTGTAACAGCCACTATTCCTAATACGTGGGGAAAATAATAAGAGGTTGAACTAAACACATCTTATTTTTATTTTTTTTAAAATAACAAGAGTCAAAACTTTTCATAAAGTTACCATAGATTTTTGTTTCCTAGTTCTGAAAAGAAAGTATTTTCTTATTTCAAAAGAAAAGTATATATAAGACATAATTTTGGTAGAAAATTATTCTCCACCATCCTGGGCTTTTTTTGGCATGTCTTTTGCACTTTTGGGGGCATGTCTTTATCTCCTTATATCTCTTCATTCCTGTGTAACTCCTGATAGTTTTCCTTTTGTTCTCTCCCTTAGAGATATAAGCCCAGTTCCTCGATGTTTTTTTCCATGGAATGTGTCACACTTTTAGGGAGGAAATACCAGATTCATGACAACATCTTGTCTGTGCATAGCAGGGTAGTGCAGCCACAGCACCTGACATGCACTTGAGGACTTCACGCTCTGAAGGTACTTTGCTTCAACCATTTGCAATGACTTTTAGAATCTGGACTGTGGTTACAAGGGGAAATGTGTTGTCCCTTCTTACTCACACTCTCTCCCCTCGCTTTTGGACATAATTCCTCTCAAAGTCTCAAATTTCTTTCATAAGACCTCCCAGCTGCCTGGGCCTGTGTGTGCTGTAAGTGTGACAGCTCTGCAAAAGAACAAATACCTTAAAGCTACTGCCAGGCTAGATTTGAATCGCCTGTAGTCATCACCATGGCTTCATAATTGGGAAGAATTATGATTTGATTCATTATGCAACTATGTCCATAAAAGAAGGAAGTATTTCTCTCCTCAGGAGGAAATTAGGATGAGTCATAGCTGGTGTTGAACTGAATTAGACAAGGTGGTGCCGAACAGAGTCACATACAAAGGAAGAAATCCTGATTAGGGTGGTACATTACAGCATCTTGCTGACCTAGGATGCACCTTTTTACACCATTGAATTTTCATAGTACTTGAAGTTTTCAGAATGCTTTTGGCATTTTAACCAGCAATCAAATGATTACCACCTTGCAGTGTAACTTGGAAGCCCAGAACACCACCTAGGCTTTGCTTCCTTCTTTTGACAGTGTCTGAAATGCGTTATCCAGGAGTTGATTAATTAACAGAGCACGTCATTACCGAACACTACCCATCATGAAACTGGAAGTGAACACTTAGAGGCTCTAGAAAGTGACTTGGGGCTATTGGTGGGAGGTACAGATTTATGGAAAGATGGAATATGAAGGACAGCAGGGTTTTAATACATTCGCCATGTTACATGCAGAAGGGAGGCCTTAATTACATGTAGATGAGATTGGGAACAAGACTGCAGAGTTTAGTTTGCATGAAAGGGAAGCATGACATGAGCAAAGTTCTATAGTCTCTTTCCATCTCCCTTTTTTTCCTTTCTCAAGAGCATTTAAAGGGAAAAATACAGGGCATCCTAAAGCACTGAGCTGTGAACAGCACTCAGTGTGCTGCTGTTTCAGCTCTCCCAAACAGGGCTCTGCAGTACCCATCCATCAGGGCTATGAAAGATTCATTCACTGTCCTGCTTGGTTTTCATCTGTTTTAAACATTTAGAGACCTACTTACAAGCCCTGTAAAACCATACACAAATCATAGGGTTTGGGAATGTTTCTAGTGAAGTACATGCCTTTTCCACTCAGGATGGCTACTCTTCTGCTACAGATTACCATGAAAAGCATTTCACTGGCATGAAAACCTTTTGTGGGGGAGGGCATGTGGAATTTGTAGTCATACCCATGCTTATTTATTATTCCTTACTTTGTTATATTTCCTCCTCACTATTTTTATTTTGTTAATATCCTGCCATTCTCTTTCCCTCTCCATTTCCAAGGCCCAAGTCTGCAGGCAGGCACATTTTGCTGATGGGCAGAGGTTGCTACAATCAGCAAAAATAATCAGCATTGGTTCGTGATAAGAAAACATGAGTAAATTAACTTCCTCTAATACTGCTTTGCCAGAAGTAGTGTTCTGTTTTGTGGTGCTGCAGCAGAGCTGGAAGGCTTCACATTTGCCAGGTGTGTCCAGACCCCTAACCCCATTCTGCTGTCTCAGACTAAGCAAAGAGCCCGTCCCATCTGTGGTTTCATCCTCCACAAGCGATTCAGCTTTCTGTTTGTGTAGCTAAAGCATTTAAACTGCTCCTGTTTGGATATAGATTGACCCCTAGAATCTAATGTATTTTAATGAGGAACTTCTATTGAAGATGGTCCTGTATCAACAGGATATAAAGGTATCACAGAGGATTCACAGAGACAGACACACTGGGGTACTTACCCATTTCGGGACTGTGGGCTCGCAGCTTCAAAATCCCCTCTCTCTTCCTGGTGTGAGGAAATCACACTTGAAGGGTAATCTTGAGTATCCTCTCTGAGGCCTTCTGCCTCCCAATAACCTTCTTGGTGTGACAGAGGAGTCCTCTGGGGGTATGCAGAGGTCTCATAAACTCGTGGCTTTGAGCTGTGCACCGAACCATCATGATGTCCACGATGGTCTGAGTGCTCCACCAGCTTTGCCAATCCTATTGTATTACAGAGCAGCAAAAGCTTCACTAGCATGCTGGGGTTTTTCCCACCCAGTTACACCTGTCTCTTGTTCTTTCCTCTGAAGCTCAGCCCGAATTAATTCAGAAATGCCCCAGCGATTTTCTTTAACTGGAAAGTTGGAAGAAGGAAGGAAAAAAAAAAAAATTTTGTAACAAAGAGCGGAAAGAGCTTTCGACCCTCCCAGCTACTGTGGAAACGTCCGCGGCTATCGAACAATGTGAGCCTGGTTCCTGTGTGGGGCTCAGACGTCTCTGACAGGGGGGAAAAAAAGGTGGTAGGAATATAGCTTATTCAGGGAACTTCGGAGCTAGGCTGCCTTCTAAACTTATCTGTGAACAGGAACTCGGCTTTTATCAACTGCCTTCTCCCTCAGGCACAGGAAAAGGATGTTAGCTTAAAGGAAAGGAAGAGAAAAGAAAGGAAAGAAAATACTGAGTGGTGTAACAGACTCTCATTACAGTGCCAGAAAATGTTACAGACCTGCTTGCTCCAGTGCTGCACATGGGGGGTTTTTTCTACAATTTAAAGGCTGAAATATCTTGGCTTTAGCAGCAGAATATTCATGGTATGTATGATAAATTACGGGCATTGAGGGACTCAGAGCAAATGCACAGTAAAAAAGAGCTTACAAATATCCATTCTTGTGTGACCTTTGCAAAGTAGCTTTGTGAATCATACTCTGTTCCCATCAAAGTGGAAGATTTTCATGAAGTTGTCCTTCAGAGAGGTCAGGATAATTGGGCATTTTTAAGAATTTCTGTTTGGGTTGTCATCTCTGGATCTCAGGCCTAATTTTTTTGTGCATTTTTAGTTAGTGTTACAAAAAAACACTTGCCAAGAGCTGCTGTCAAGAGCTACCTCTGTCAACACATCCTAATAATAAATTAAAAAAAAAAAAGGGCTGTGGAGGTTGGATGTAGTTTTGTTGCTGGTTTTGCTTTGCTTGATGGTGCTGCTTTTAGTTTTGTTGCTTTCATGAGCTGTGTTTCTTTCTTCACTGTCTTGCAGAGTGATGTGCTCAGGTATTTTTAAGAATAGAATGAGGGAAAATGGTGCTCCACTGACAGAACAAGTGGGAATGCTGGTGCAGGACTGCTAGGTCATGTCTTGGTTTGAATGTTGAGATGCACAGCCCAAAGTTCAGTGTGTCCTGCAGAGCATTAGATGCAAAGCTTTTATGGATTCCTTCCAATAACAGCTGAAAATAGAGGATAAAATCTCTCCAGGATTTTGGAAGGCCTTCTTATTAAAGGCTGTGAATTTTCATTTTCTCATTCCTAGCTGGATCTGCACTCCTCTCCTTCTGCCCTTATTTTCTGCTTAATGGAAGAACCCAGAGAAATGCAGAAATGCCCTTACTGGCCTGTGACAGACACTGCTGCCTAAGAGCAATTAAGCCCTAGGGCAGTGACAGCAGCACAGGGGGCCAGGTGGAGAGAGATTTTGCTAATTTTAAGGGCAAAACCTGCTCTTTCTGTAGCAGTCACTTCTCCAGGGAGATGAAATCATAAGGTCTGGACTGAAGACTGAAAAAAATTAGCAACTTCCCTCTGTTCCTTCCTGCTGCTTTTATTTCAGAATTGGGTGCATCCTGCTATAATACATGTCAGTGTGTGAGTATTTCATGTCCCATGTTGCACATACAAATGTGCTTTTCTTATAAGTAACTGGATGTGACCTAAGCATTATGTTTGTTTATGTAATAAGGCCATTATCAGGAAGGAACTGAAGCAAACATGAGACAAAACAAGCAGCAGGCTTATAGCTTGAGGTGGGGTGAGATCCTGGTTTGCAAAAAAGTGAGTTTGTGCCACAGGTACTGAAGTTGTCCCACTCATGACCTACTTCCAAACCCTTTGGACTTGTCTTTCAACATATACCTTTCCACTTAGTCTTAACTCACCCACTAAATCTTTATTCTTCATGGATGTGATACCTCACAAGTGGTGGGGCAATGTTTCTCTGTCTTCCTGGCTCAGAACATCTGCTGCTCCTTCAGGTGCAAGAGCCTGTTCTCTATGCCTTTGTCGTGGTGCTGCCCTGTGGGTGCAGCAGGCACAGATTTACAAGTTAATAATTTAGGGTGAGCAGTTCTGAAAGAAGTCAAAATATGGACATGACAGGAGATGATGTCTCTTTCCTCGTGATAGGTGTTGCACAGGATGCTGCCATGAACCCATAGAAGGCATGAATTATTCAAAGGATCTTCCTTACTAGTTCAGGTTTTTGTTTAATAGCTGTTCTGATTTGGAGTATCTGAATAACATGTTCAGGTTGTACTCTTGGTTCATAACTTTGGACTTGCTGGCAGACTGAGCTGAAAGTTTTCTTGCTTTTACACCCGTAGAAAAACATGTGTGAGGAGCGTGCCCACTCAGGAATTAGATGAACCACAACTTGGCTATTTTTTTTTTTTTTTTTTTTGAGCTGGTGCCTCAGCATGGAATCAGGGAAAACAGTTTGTAACAATTTGTTCATTGCTTTCTGATGTGAGTCTCTTCTAGGAGGTACATTCTGGGTGAGAAAGGCAACTGTGCACCAACTAACATCAATAGATGTCTATCACTTTTCAGTTGCCTGGTTTAGTGTTGGTGTACCTTACACACGTGGGTACTGCTGCTGGAATGAAAGAAATAGGCGAGATAAATCAAATTTAAAACATAATTTGGAAAATTTGGAAATAAGTGTTACTCCAAAAGTATACTTGAAACCCTATCAGTGAGTGATGTGATGATTATAAATAGTGGTGTGGAGATGTTTGGAGCTGCCCTGATACCTCTCAGAACAGCTATCCAAAAAGATATTGTCCCTCCACTCTTGCTACTAGTGACTTTTTTTTTCTGCGTCCTTATTTATGAAATACTTTTACCCCAAGTATTTCTGAGAAGTACTTCCTTAAAGT